TATTAATAGTAATGAAGATAACACTACCTCGGGTGATAGTGGGGTGGTGAAGGAGGGAGGGCCGTTGTCAACCTTTTCTGATGAAAGTTCTTAGTTAGAATGTAAGGGTGCTTGGGGAGCTGCATCGTAAGAGGGAAGTTTTGCTATTAGTTAGGCAACAAAAACCTGAAATTATGATTTTACAAGAGACTAAGCTCCCTACGCCAACTGTTTTTCGTGTTAAGGAGATTTGGGAGGGGGTCTTTTGGTTTTGTTATGGTTGAAGCAATTGGGGCGTCTGGAGGATCTTTAGGTAGTTTGGGATTCATTTTTTTTGTCTTGTGTGGAAGTAATTGAGAGGGATTCCTCTTTTTTGTCTTGTGTGGAAGTAATTGAGAGGGGTCGGCAGTAGTTTTTGAAGGACAAAGTGGGATGTCTAACTGGGTTTTGTGTAATGCATATGTGACTCATACTGTTGCTTTAAAAGAATAAAATAGTCTCTTTTGAATGATATTTCTTCTTTGGCAAACTCTTTAAATCTACCATGGTGTATAAGAGGTGATTTTAATATGATCCAGTTGTCAGATGAGATTTCATCAAGTAACCCAATCAATTCATCTATAAGACTTTTCAATAATTTTATTTTTTAAAATGAGTTGATTGATATACTAATTAATCGCACTAAATTTTCTTGGTCAAATAATTATGTTGATAATTGGATCATGAGCAAAATAGATAGATTTCTGATTTTTAGAAGGTGGGAGGAGTTTTTCTGTGAAAGGAAAGTATATATTGTGTACTTGGTTAATATGAAAGGTTTATATTGTAATCTGTATATTTTGTATTTAGGGTAAGTCTGGGTATAATATAGTCTGGGTAAGCTCTGATACCATGTGAAGAGTCTCAGGTTTCTCTGAAGAGACTCAGTGTCCATTAATCATATGCATATACATACGTGTCTTTTATAGACAAATTACAGATGATAAAATATATAAATAAAACACAAATTACCCTTTTTAAATATACAGATTACAATGTATGCCTTCCATATTAACCAGGTACACAATATATAATTTCCTTTCACATTTTCCCCTATCAAGTGTTATTGCTCTCACAAAACTTTCATCAAATAATATCCCCCTTTTGTTGCTTACTGAAAATTCTATTAAAAAAGCCCTTTTGAATGGAAAAAGGGTGATTAGAGGAAAAAGAGGTGGTGGAGATGATTACGAGAACATGGACTAATGCTATTGCACCTGGTTTGTAGGGGTTTTAGGTCCATAAAAAGTTGGTTAACATCAAACATAAATTGTTGCGGTAGAGAAAAGATAATAATTTTACAATTAAAACTAAGGTTGACGAATGTTTGAGGGGTTTGGATCAATTGAGACTTCTATTCAAAATTAAGGTCATATTTTGTTAGAAGAAGAAGATGAGAAGCTTGAATTGATGTGTGAGTTATCTATGATTTTGAGAACTAGTGAGATTTATTGGAAGCAATGATATAAGGTAAATTGGTTGAAGGAAGGCGATGCAAATACAAAGTTTTATCATGCAGTCGCAAGTTCGAGAATGAGACAAAATGATCTATCGGGTATTGCTTTTGAAGGGGTACATGGGGATGATATTGAAGCATGAGAGATGGAATTTATGAAGCATTTTCAGTGGGTATTTTCAAGTGGAATGTTGTTTAAGGTGAAGTATCAGGGAGTGAATTTTAGAAGATTATCTGATGAAATGATTCATGATCTTTAAGAGGGGGTCACTAAAAAGGATGTATGTTGCTTTTGCATTGCCAGGAGACAAAGCACCGGGGGCACCGGGGTTGATGGTCTTCCTTTAATATTTTTATGAATTTGTGATTATCAGATGGAATTTGTGAAGCATTTTCAGGGGATATTTTCAAGTGAAATGTTGTTTACGGTGAAGTATCAAGGGATGAATTTTAGCAGATTATATGATGAAATAATTCATGATCTTTAGAGGAGGGTCACTAAAAAGGAGTTAAAGTACGTTGCTTTTGCATTGCTAGGAGACAAGGCATCGGGGTTGGATGGTTTTCCTTTAATATTTTTTCAGATGTTTTGAGATAATATTAAATTGGATCTTATTCTTATAGTGCAGAAATTCTTTCAAAGGGGTATTATTCATAAGGGGATAAATGTCGTGTTTATTGCCTTGATTCCTAAGCATGTGAGTATATCAAGAATTTATGATGTGCGTCCTATTAGTTTATTAACTGGCTATTATAAGATTGTTGCAAAAATTTTAGCTGAAAGGTTAAAAGTAGTGCTTCATTGTGTTATTATCGGTCACAGATAACATTTATCAAGGATCTGCACATGAATGTATTCACTCAAGGAAGTCAAGTAAATAACCATGAGGCGTGATGAAATTGGATACGGAGAAGGCTTATGATAGGGTTGAATGTTATATATTGTTGGAGATTATGCAATGCATGGATTTTGGAGAGAAATGGAGATCATCGATTAAAGGTGTATTTCTAGTGCTCCTAGCGAATGGGAGTCCTAAATGGTTATTTGGAGCGACTAGGGAACAACATCAAGATATCATTTATCTTATTTTTTATTTACTTTGGTAGCATAACATTTTAGCTTGATGATTTCGAATGTGGTGGCGCCACAGCAGTTTAGTGGTTTAAGGTCGCTAATAATTATGATTTTGTTGTTTTACATTTACACTATTTAGATGATACTTTGCTATTTTGTGGGGCAAATATGGAATAAGATCAAAATATCAAGAAAATGTTGCAATGTTGTGAGATTGCTATGAGGTTAACGGTTAATTTTAAGAAAACTTCTAAAGTTGGGGTGGGATGCTCCCAGGATATTATGGAGGTTTTGGTAGAGGTGATGGAGTGTAAGGTGGAGACTTTCCCTATCAAGTATTTAGAAATTCCTATCTCTGATTCAAAGTTGCCTAAGTCAGTTTGGGACGCAGTAGTGTAAAGAGCTCCCACAAAACTTGATTTGTGGAAAACCAAACATTTATATTTGGAGGTAGGTTAACTTTAATGCATGCACTTTTTCCAATTTGCCAATATATATGATGTCATTACTAGTTATGACTTCGATATGTAATCATTTGGAGCAATTGATGAGGAATTTTATGTGGGGCTCTTATGGTGATGGTTGAAAATACTATTTGGTTAATTGGGATAGATTTTGTACATCAAAAAATGATGGGGGGATGGGTATTAGGAGGGTGAAGCTAGTTAACCAAGCTTTGTTGGCAAAATGGTGGTGGCGTTATAAAACGTGTAGGGATCAATTCTAGTGTAAAGTTTTGGCTACTAAATATATTATTGAATTTAATATGTAAGTGGGTAGTAGGAGAAGGAGAGGTGATTGGTCGAATGTATGGAAAGGGATTTTGGGCATTAGACCACTTGTTCCAAGAATCCCGAGGTGGATTCTGGGTAATGGATCATTCATTCTCTTTTAGTACAGCAGGTGGTTGAAGGTGATGCTGTAATGTATCTATTTTCAAAACTTTTTGAATTGTCAACTTGTAAAGAGGTGACAGTTGCTGATACGGTGGATGTGAACTGGGGAAGGACACATTGGAAAGTTTGTTTGCCTCGTAAGCATGTGTCGGATACTGTGATTCAACAGTTTGCAGCACTTATGGATATTTTTGAGAGTCATCACATTACTCAAATGATGGAGGACATATTGATATGGGATGCCCAAAATGATGGTGAATTTAATGTTAAATCTGCCTATGAATTGTTATTTTATGATAGACTTCGGTGGAATTGGATTTCTTTGCATAACATCTGGAAATGGCTGGTACTTTTGAAAGTATGAAGTTTTTTGTGGATATTATTTCAAGGCAAAGTTTTAACGATGGATAGTTTAATCAAAAGGGTTTTTATGTTGTGTAAAGAAGATGCTGAATGTAGTGGTCCTTAGTGTCTCCATTGTTCATTATCCTATAACATTTGGTGTTGGTTATTTCAGATGCTTGGGGTTTCTATGGTTATTCCGGAGTCTCATGCTCATATTTTGGATTAGTGGGATTTTGTTAATTCTTATGGTATGGGGAGAAAGATATGGCAGATTGTGAAGGCGGCGGTATTGTGAGAAATATGGAAGGAGAGAAATAATAGGGCCTTTGAAGGAAGAACATTGGAGATGGGTGTGGTGAAGAGAAGAATAATTCATACTATTTGGAGTTGGCTGCCTATCACAAATGAGGGCTTAAGTACATCTGAGATTGATATTGCAATTAGTCTTTCTAATCTTATGGGACAAAAAATGATTAAAGTTCGATAAAAAAATGTGTATGATGTTTGCCCTTACCTAGTAAAATCAAGTTGAACTTTGATGGTAGTTCCCATGAGAACCCTGATGCAGTAGGTTATGGTGGGCTGATCAAGAATTCTAATGGGGAAATCCTTTTATGCTATAGAACTTCAAATCTTATAATCGATGTTGAAAATTGATTTTAGAGCTATTATAGATATTTTTGATGCTCGAAAGCACGAAAACCCCCAACATGCTTTTTAGACAAGGATTCTTTTACTTTGTTTTCTCAAAGCCTTAAAGAAAGCATCCATATTAAAAAAATAAAAATCAATATATAGCCAAAAGATACTCTACTCATGTACGAGTAAAATGTTCATTTACTCCCTCAGCTAAGACGATTAGAATTAATTCTCGGATGCCAAGTTTGTGGATGTAACTTCAATAAAAAAATTTTAATTGCACTTTCTGTGCACCTAAAAAAAGTAATGTCTCAAGATTGAATACAGACCATTCAATTTTTTAGACAGTCAGATTTAAGTATTAGAGCTCTCAAATTTTCATTTTTTTTTAAGAATAATTATCTAATAATTCATGAATAATTTTAGATCCAAAAAATCTCCCAAATAGATATAGGAAGGATTAAAAGTAACTATACTACCGAGGGAGCATAATAGGGAGCATAATAGACGTGCCCATACCTAAATACAATGGTCGGAGCACGTAGTTGAACTTTGTTGGATGCCCTCATTTCTTCTCTCTTCCATTTAAAAGGTTTGTTTTTCACATTCGCACCAGTCAGAGTGGGAAGAGGAGAGAGAAATGAAGAGAGATGTTTCGTGGAGATTCTCTCTCTACCTTCACAGTAGGGCACACGGCTGGATTGCTGCAATGCAATCTAAATCTCACAAGGCATAATAAGGGCAATACCAGAGAGTTAGTGATTTAGAGAGAGAGAGAGAAAGGAAGGTTAATGGAGGAGCAGTTGAAGATGGAGAGTTCCTTTAGGGAAGGACCACCCTTGGGGAGCTCACCTCCTTCATTTTTGATGAGTAGCAACCCTTCTTCGAGGATTTTTCAGTCTGAGATCTCTCAGAGACTGAGATCTCAGAAACCACCCGAGCCTCTTCGTCGAGCAGTGGCTGATTGCCTCTCGTCTTCGCACCATGGGACCCCATCTCCTCTTGCTTTGGAAGCTGCAAGGACCCTAAGGGTTAGTTTCATTCATGGCTTTGAAGTTTAGTCGTCTATTGTCTGTGATCTGCTCTTTCTCTCTCTCTCTCTCTAGACTGTGTGATTAGTTTTAATGGTCTTTATTGTTTTTGTTTCCTTTCGTTCTCTCGTCTCCCTCTCTCTCTCTCTCTCTCGCTACTGACGATTGTGTGTTTTGAATTTACCTGTTTTAGTGTGAGTTTGATTAATTGCTCTTGTTATAGAGATGATTCGAAAGGTGGGGTTTTGTGGGACTTTAATCTGTTGATTTTTTCTGTGTTTGTAGTTTATGTTTTTGGATGTTCTTGTACTTCATGGATAAAATATTTTACGTATTTTAATTATCAACTTACATATATTTTTGGATAATCACTTGGTTGTCTGATTATTGTCTGAGGAATAAGAGGGAACTGAGATAGGCATTGCACCGAAAAGAAACAACCTTCATTGTATTTCATAGCTAGGCAATTGATTCAAATGTAAAATTGAAAGTTTGATACAGCTGAAATTTTATGAGTCCAATCGAGTGTTCTAGTTCACGGAGCTTTGATTTGATCTTTATCCTGGTCTTCTAGAATACATACATATGTGCGAATATTACTGTAGGACTCTAATACATATGTATGAATATCTTTTTTTTTGAAGTTGTATGTGCAAATATTTTTAATTATTATAGAATGGAAGATGGGCAAATTTTAGCTAGGAGCTTCTTGACATCTAAAGGGATGATCTAGGGTTTTTTGCTTGGCTCAACCGCTGAACTTGGTCACTGATGTGGCCAGTTACTTGAGTAAGTCCTTGCTGCTTTGCACGAGTTTTCTCCATACTCGAAAATGGCAACAAAAAAGTTAAAAAGGGAAAAATCTTTGTAAATCTGTTGAAATAGGAAAAACAAAGAAAACAGTTAGCATTGGAAGATGTTTATAAGAGATGAGAATAAGTTTTCTAAAAGTAAAAAAAGAAAAAGAAACTGCTTAAATATTATTATTTTTCATTGAATATTTGATTGCATTACTAAAATATAAAAGCTAAGTAGCAAAATGGCTGCCAATGCGCCTGGAGCTCTCTATAACAGAGGGGTAGTTAAGCACCCAACATAGCCATGGTGTCAAAAAACCATTGAGGCCGTGTAAATTTAAACAACATGGACCCTGTACATATAAGCAACAAGAAGAAGAACACAAAAAAGGAACTCAAGGAAATTCCTTGAGTCCCTTTACATATGAGAAGAAAAGAAACTGGAAGATAAAAACAAAAGAGGAAGATGCACTTCTTCCTAAGCCGCAAGGGGGTGAGAGAAGGAGCTTTAAGGAGAAAGAAGAGCATAGATGAGCGAGATGGATAAGCATAGCAACACCATGGTGAACTATGGGGAGGTTCCGTAGCCAATACACCCTGTTTGTTCGCAATGGATTAAAGTCGTTTGGGGTGATTGGTTGCATAATGCAGGAGGTGTCCTTGTAGGCTGCTCATATTACGAAATCATAGAATGCTACCCACATGCCTGGAGCTCTATAAGGAGTCCATGGTGAACTATGGAGGGGTTCCGTAGCCAATACACCTTGTTTGTCTGCAGTGGATCAAAGTCGTCTGGGATGATTGGTTGCATAACGGAGGAGGTGTCCTTGTAGGCTGTGCATATTACAAAATCATAGAATGCTACCCACATGCCGGGAGCTCTATAAAGAGTGTATAATATACTAATAAGGGCTTATAACCGGAGAGTAGCATAATAAGAGAGTAGCAGCAGAATAAAAAGTTTTTGTGGCAAGACAAGAAGGAATAGAATATGAGATGAATACATTTGGGAGAATTTATATGTGGAAAGCGATAAGATGAGAGAAAGTAGACATAGATGGGTTGGCCTTGCGCACCGTAGACCTAATACATCACCTGTTAGGAGGTGCGAGTTGGTTCAAATGGAAGGCTAAAAAAGTGCGAGGGGTAGGCCCAAAAGGAAATGATTGGAAATAGAGAGAAAAGATATGGGGACTTATGGCCTCATTGAAGGTATGAACCTTAATAGAGCAGGATGGTGAATCAGGATTTATGTAGTTGACCCCAATTAGTTGGGAAAAGGCTTTGATGATGATGATGATGAGTAGTAGAATAAAAAGTTTTTCAAAAAGTAAAGAAAGAAAAAGTAAACTATTTAAAGATTATTTTTTAGTGAATACTATATTATTAGAATATAGAAGTTACTTCGCAAAATGGATGCCCATTCGCCCAGAGCAGTCAACAAGAAAGGGTTGGTTTTTTTTGACAAGGTTACATAGGAATGGAACATGAGACGTTGGGCTATGAGAACTTAGCCTCTACCATCTTGACCCAAGCCCATTTCCTAGAAAGGGGTAGTTAAACACCCAACGTAACCCTATTGTCAAAAAACCATTGTGGCCATGTATATTTAAATAACAGGGACCCTGTACAAACAAACAAAAATAAGAAGAACACGAAAAAAGGAACTCAAGGAAATCCCCTTGAGGCCCCTTACATGTGAGAAGAAAAGAAACTGCAAGAGAAAAACAATAAAGGTAGATGCACGTCTCCCTAAATTGTGAGGGGGTAAGAGGGGGAGAGCTTTAAGGAGAAAGAAGAGGGTAGATGAGCGAGATGGATTAGCTTAGCAATGCCATGGTGAACTACGGAGGGGTTCTGTAGCCAATACACCTTATTCGTCTGCAATGGATCAAAGTCTCCTAGGGTGATTCGGTGCGTAACCAAGGAGGTGTTCTTGCGGGCTGCGCATATTATAAAATCACTTAATGCTACCCGCATGCTAGGAGCTCTATAAGCAGTGTGTAACAGGGGTATATAGAATAAGAGAGTAGCAGAGGGGAAGAAAAGATTATTTTCTCATAAAAATGATTATTTTCTTAGAAAATGAGAAAATAAAGAAAAATAGAAAATATTAAAAAAGGTAAAACCCTAAGTATAACTAAAACTAAATATAAATCATTTGTAATTGATTGAAGTCTTTTAGTATAAAAATATAAGTAATGTAATATAAAATTTATGCTACTTGCCCTTGAGTTTGCTGGGGACTTGTGCAAGGCATCCTGCCTTCCCGAGTTACTCGGATCGACTCGGGTGAGTAGTAAAACATTTGGATGATCTTATTCCTTTTTCTTACTACATTGAAAGCATTGTGGTTGCACATATACATATTGGTTTTAGGTATCTTATACTGTACAATTGGTGTGTTTTGTGTCCTCGACAGGGACAGTTAACATCCATTCAGATTTATGGATGATTGAGATTAAACGTAGTTCCTGATGATTGACATTCACCCTAGTACAGTCGATCTCCCCCATATGCCATTAGCATCAGACACCAGAGATCCCCATGCTGTATCTTATAGTGTGCAATCCTCGTGTATCGTATACTTTTCTTGTTTATTTAATTCCTTTTTACATCACCATGATCAACTGCTCGAGGGTATAAGGAATATCATTTTGTGTTTTGAACACATAATCATATCTGCATATTATAAATTCTGTTCACTACTTAATATAATTGTTTTGCATATAGAATGGTAACTCAATGATTTGATAAGATGTGCTTGTACATGGGATATTTAGCTTTCTGAAACAGACACAATGTGCACAAGTTTCATTGCACTCAACTGTTCAAAATAATCAGATGCAAATATCCAATTGTCCATTTCACCTTGTTAATTGGCCTGAATTCATAGCACGTTTCTTATTATACATTAGTTGTTTTATTTGAATTTATTTTGTTATGAGAATTTTTACTACATAGGATGCACATTGTGGTTACCCAAGCACTTAACCCTGAGATTCATGAAATAAACACTAGGAAAAATTACGAACAATGAACTTTAAAGATTTTTGAAATTAATAAGAAATTGTGATTGGAAAAGAAGGAAGCATGAAAAATGTGGGGAGGGGGGGGGAGGAGGGGCGGACTTGGAAGAAAAAAAAAATGTTTCTTATCTAAAAAGAGTTGTTCTCTGCTTCCTCCTGGTCAAGAGTATCTGGCTCGCATTGCTTCTTTGGACACTTGGAAGTATAATATAGGCCACCCATTCCCTCTTTGAATAGCTCCTCCAAAAATTTAGTGAATCTCTAAAGATAATTTTTCTTTCTGCAAGGCACATTGCAAATTTCCACCTACACTGGTGGGTTCGATGCGCTTACGGCTGCATAACACATTCTGTGGCCAATAATGCGTTATGCGTTATGTGGCCGCATTTGATATTGAATTAGGCCTTTTAATTTTTTAATAAAAAAATCGTATTTTAAATGGAGCTTTACTAACTATAGTTTGGACTAGGCTAGCTCCCTTTGCAGTTTTGATTGGTCTTGTCTTTATATTATTGCTTGTTAGTTTTTCATGAAGAAGTCCTATGGGTTCACAATGTTTGGTTTTGATCGTTGTTACTTTTTGTCATGTGGCAGGATTATTTAGTGTCTTCATCAACAACTGATATGGCCTACAATGTGCTTTTAGACCATGCATTGGCTGAAAGGGACCGCAGGTACAATATGTCCATGAGAGCATTTTGTATTCTTCTCGAAATGAGTATCAAAGGCTATTGGCACTATGTTTTCTTTACTGCTTATGTAATTGATCTTCTTTTGCTTTACTCACAATTACGTAGTTATGCAACTATTGCATTGCAGTTTTGTAGGATAAAATTGATATTTGTTCATGTACATTCATTGAAGGGGATCTTCTAAGAGCTTCTGTGAATGTGGAAATTTTTTTTTTGGGCGAGATGTGAATGAGGAAACTTTGTTAGTGCCTTTTATTGGGAAAGTATTGCTCTTGCCTTCCTTTTGTGGATCTAAATTAAGAAATACTCAGGATTAGACTTATGATAGCCCATGAAGGTGGGTGGATGGAAGATTAGTCAACTGAGAGATGGTTCTACACTTCCCTAATATAAGGAATAATGAAATTCTAATTTTTTTGTCTTGTTCTAACCTGATGTATTGAAAACGATGATGCTTAACTTTGTGGATATGTTCCGATAAGGAAAAAGAAAAACTTTGTTGGTATAAATGGAGCTCAGGCTCTTTGTCTGGTGGTCACCGCATGTTGATGGCTGCAGCTCAACATCCAAGTTGAATCCCACTGCGAACCAACAAAAAGGAAAAGGAATTGCAGGTTACTCACCCTCTTATTTTTATGGATATCTTTTTGATGTTTGCACTAATCATGTTTCTCCTTTCCGAACATTCTCAGGAGTGTCCAGTTTAATGGCCAATGCACTAGTTAATGATGGTTTGAGCAGTCGAAGTTTATGTGTGGAGGAATTATGCCCCACAGATGACACCTTGCCATCCCCAGTATATGTGTGTGACATTGTTACTTTGTCACATTTTCTTTTTCTTTTTTTGGAAATGTGTGTCACGTTTTCTTCAATAAAATCTGTTACTTATCATAAGAAAAAGATGGGTAGTCCATCCAGTCTGGACTGCCTTTCACCTCTATGAGGAAAAAAGAAAGAACCTGTCCATTGACCTTGTCCCACCAATCTCTGGAACCTATGCAAATAGATCTGATATTAGAAACTTATGAAAATCTTACAAAAAATATATACTTATTTACAGAAGAATTGGGAACAATCCTAGCAGCTAAGGGAGGGTAGGAGGGAGTTGGTACTCTTCCAAATGTGCAGCAAAACTTCTATTACTGTGTTGCTTTGTTTTTTGCAACTTGTTTGATTTTGCCTTTATAAGGCATCAGGTTTGGATGCCGAACGATGATGCTGGTTGGAAACTATACTTGAACAAATTACAGTTAACAACTAAAACGAAAAATACTATACTTGAACAAATGTTACTAACACAGGACCTTCATTCTTTCACTTGAACAATACTCAGAACATATTGTCATTAAACTTCAAAAAAAAAAAAAAAAACTAGAACAAATTCTACTAACACAGGAACTTCATTCTTTCACTTGAACAATGCTCAGAACATATTCATTATGATTGTTAGTTAGATAGATTGTTTTCTTTTTGATTTTTGGTAGCTGATGATTTGATGTTATAGCAGAGACAGCAAATAATAGTGCTAAATATGGGAAATACTTGCTCCTATTGATCTTGAGTCTAGGTAAAAACTTATACTGCCGTAAAGTATCAAGATCACCCTTCTTTGAACAAGGCAACTGTTTGGAAGCCATAGGACGTTTTTTACTACAGCTTCTTGTACCCCTCAACTTTTAGCAATATAATGATTTGTATAGAGAAGCATAAACAAGAATGCAAAGACAAGGCACACAGATTGAAGGCTTTGATGCAGCCCTCCAAATTTACAAGCGAAAAGTTTTGTCTATTTTCTAGCTTGTCATGTTCTGGTGTTTTTCGTTATATGTAATATAATTTGACAATGTTTCAACTTGCCAGCTTTCTGTTTAGCTCCAGACTTTAAGATTCTGAATATGATGGATACACCTTTTTTCTACTTCTTGTTCTAATTTTAATTTTCTTTCTTTTCCCCCTCTTCTCCCAGTCCTGCAGTGGTGTTAAAATGTGTAGCACTTCTTAAAAGATATCTTCTACGGTGAGTTTGATTTCTATGTCTGTTGAGCTTTATTATGTTAGCTCTTTCTATACTACCAAGGAATTTCTATGGTACCAAGGAAAGAAGAAAGAAGATAAGGAGGGGGGGAGGGTTATTAATATTGCAGTTCTTTTTCACTGCAGATACATGCCTAGAGAGCAGACTTTGCAGCAAATTGATCAGTTTTGTGTAACTCTGATTGCGGAGTGTGATTCCTTAGCTAGTAGAAGAGTTTCTCCAATCTTGAGATCCTCAAATCATAGGAATGAGGCATCACCGGTACCTACAAATGCTTTCTCCCCATCTTTCCATGCTTCAACATTTTCCTCTGGAATGCTCGTGAAATCAATAAATTATGTTCGTGGCCTGGTAGCTCGACATATTCCAAGACGATTATTTCAACCACCAGGTTTAGCTGGCGCCTTTAATGCTTCAAATTCAAAGCTGCCCACATTGTCATCTTTAATGAGTAGGTCTTTTAGTTCTCAACTAAGCCCAAGAGGTGTTAGTAGCAGGGGATCTCCTGAGACTAAAGAAGTTGCTGCATCATCGTCAAAGAATTCATCTGGTATTGCAAGACTTTATGAGGTAGACGATAATTATCTTGCTGTTGATGTACTGAAGTGGCGGTGGTCTGGTGGCCATGATCTCCAGCCTTCGGTGCTGTCCCACGCTGTGACAAACAGGTAAAACATTGTTTTTTCTATGTTGACCCTCTCTCTCTCTCTCATGACATCGAGTGCAGACAGACATGTGACACGTACATACACACTTGTGTGTGCTTGTTTTATGTGTAATTTATTTTGACTGGTTGAGTATTTGAGTTTACTGTTTGGAGGGCATAACCATGAGTGGTGTGTGAGTGTTTGTTATGTGTGGAAAATGATTAAATAGTGTGTCCTTTGTACATTTCTGTTTGGGTGCCATCCCCAATAATGGATTAGATATTGAAAGGGGTGGAAGTGGAGGGTTAGTGAGAGGACTACTATCAAACCTGCTAACCTGGTTATCCTGTTTCTCGACCGTTATAAACGGGGAGGGAACTCCAATAGCACCACTCACAAGGGATCTTCAAAGATATTCTTATGTGTGTGTATGGACACGTGTGCACATATATGCGAGTAGTTGCTTCTCAATGTTTGGATTTTTGGATTGCATAAAAATCTTACGACAGTGATTTATGATTTGTGGATTTAGTGGTGATGACATGAAGCCCCAAGTAAGCAATGCACATAATTTTGTAGAAGTTGGTGCAGCCACATTGCGTGTGGGTGATGTGGAACTGAAGACTGAGGCCCCTCCTGGAAAATATTACGATCGTTTGATATCTGAAGTTGATTTGGACCAACTACTACAGCCCTCAACAGTCACGGCTGCAAATAATATTGCATCAGCTCGTGCTCATTTGAGAGCAATAACTGCCTCTAAACGCATGGTATCAGGTCCTCATCAGGTTTGGTGCGTACTTGTTATGCTACTTCTTTATGTGAATCCTCTTTTTGTTTTGTTTTACTTTTATTTTTTTTTGTGGTTTGCTCCTGTTTCAAAAGATTTTGGTTCTTGCTTTCTTCCCTTTTTTGTTTTTGGTAAATTTTCAGTTGATGGTTCTTATAGAAATATGTGAATAATAGCCATCAACTTTCTGCACCTAACAATTCACGAACCTCTTCATGAATGGGAGTCACTTCATCTAATATTCACATTTTAAATGTCGGTGTACCTTATTCCTTGTACATGTAATCTTAATAACTTACAGTTAAAGGTGTCCATTTATGTAAAAATTCTGTCTTTCTAATGAGCTGATGAAGTCAACATTTCAGGAAAACCACTTTTTCTTTTTATAATATATTTTGTAAAGTATTAATGGTCAGTGAATCCTATTTTTATCACATTCGCTGACTGGACTAAATGAATGCTATCTTGATGGTTACAAATTCACATACACAGACAGAGGGATACTTGCATACTCCCATGAGCCAATTTCTGCAACATCAGTTCATGCCTAAAAATTCCAAGAAAAGATTATCTAGGGGGATTTATTGGACCCTAAATTTTGTAGGGTGCCTTTATTCATCTCGGTGAACATGCTTATGAACAATCCCTGAAAAAAACCCCAAAAAATGATTCTTTTAGGAGAGAGAAAATACAATTAATATTTACTGTCCATTTTAGGAAAGAAATAGTGGCATTAGATGGATGCGTTGGGGACTTGGGGGATATGCTTATCCCCACAATTTGTCATTGTCTCGATCATCACCATATGAACAGCTTTTTTTTTTTTAATTTGATTTTGAGTTATTAAAGGCATAGATCTGAAGTAGATGGCCAGTGTTTGCTGAATTTTCACTCTCCTTAAAAAAAAAACCTATTTTTTAGGTATTTTTCATTTTTTTTTCTTTTTGAGATTGTTTATTGGATTTAAGAATCAAGAGAGTTTTATTGCAAAGTTTGGGGTCGAATAGATATCTCTAGTTTTTGGGCCTTGAACTAACATTATTGAAATTAGCTTATGGGAGTAGGTAATATTTTGTCAATGTATATGTGTTTGTGCATGCACGTGCATGTACTTGTGCATTTAAGATTGTCTCAAAGAATATATTTGATCACGTAAAGAGTTCAAAATGTCCTGAATCTAATGTCATAAATGTTAGCAGAAGAATACTTCAGCTTCCTTGTAATATTTATCTTGTATGTTGTATGTTTAATCCATCAAAAAAGAGAAGGATCTCATGGATATGTTTTTTTTTTACTGTGGAGTGTTACTGTGTCACTGTGTATAGGTTGTTCTACAGTAGTCTTGATTTATTTTGAAACAGCGTGAATGTCAAGCTCACATTAACTTATTAGTATACTACCAGGGATGATGCCCCAACAAACACATTCCGCATGCGTGCTCGCCCCCTTTTTCAGTATCGGTATTACAGGTATTTTTGTGAATACCCTTATTCTTACCTTGTTTGTGTATAGTGAGCACTGATAGAACTGTGTATGGTGAAGTGAAATACTTAGAAGTATTATGCTATTTCATATTTCCCATTTGTAAATCGTGATAAATTCTAACATTTTATCAATCTTAATTTGATAAAAATTGTTTATAATTATTGATTGTCTGCTTAGTTGTGAACATTCTAATCATATTGTTTGTCCTTGTAATATTCTTTTATCCAATTCATATACATTCAAATATAGTATAGTTGCGACATGGCCTTTTTTCCTCTAGTGTGACAATGGTTTGAGAAGGGTCAAGGGTACATAAAATTCCCCCCCCTCATAATCCAGCTTTCACAATGGAGACTGGTATGCTTCTTAAATCGCTTGATTCTGTCCACATGGTTTAAGATCACTGACCTACTGTGTGTCTGCAAAGCCATTGTTTGTTGACAAGTGATGTATATGGATAAATATAGCTCTTGCATAATTTTTGCTAGTTAACATTTTAAGAAGATTACTGATTCAATAACTGTTAAAAAGGTTGTTTTTGTGCAAATGCCTGCTATTTACTCATTGGTGGCTCCTTGTGATCTTAATGTGAACTCTATTTCCTTAATTCCTCTCTCTCTCTCTCT